TACTCTCCTCCCTCAGCACGTCATTATTAATCATTTGCTTTTGAAGAGCGCTAATCTCCGTTATTGTTCTCAATCATCATTGTCCGATCTCTTTATGCAGGAAGTGTCTTCAAGTGCATATAAATTATTTTGAATACGAGCGATTATTGTATTATCTTCATTTATACATATGTATTTAAGTACGTACGAATGTACAACATACATAATACAATATACATTAATGTCATTTGAATCTGTAGATGACTAAACCGTCGGACGGTTGGCTGGTTTTGCATTGTTTGGTGATTAGACGCGTGCTGATTAAACTATTGAAATTAACTCTCTGGTGTATGTATGTATATACAAAAGAGCATTTATACATTTATAAGTATGCGTCATATATTTATTTGACGTTGACCTCGAACAAATGAATAAAAAAATATATATATTGACCTACACACATATGTACTTGCCCGAAACATGTCAAATACAAAGACCATTGATAAGAGTAAAATTATTTGTCTAAAAATGATTGAATGAAATGAAGATTTATGCTGGTTGTGGAACAAGACATATGACGATATGAATGCAATTACAAAAGACATTTTTTTGTTTATTTTATTTTTTAATTCTTGTGTTAAAAATCAAAATATTATTTACATACGATAAAAAAAATTACAAAATAAAAATAATTATGAATTCCTTTCAAGGCGGAGTGTCGGAGCTCACAAAACTAAAATATTCAAAAAAAGTTTTGCTGTATAATTATAAAAAATCAGAACTAAGTGTTTTTTTAGCAAGAAAATTAAACTAAATTTTTTTTGTATATAATATAAATTTATTACTAATAATTTTGTGCATTTCTAACTAATATTATTGCCAAAATTTAGTACTAAAACTAGTTTCTCTTAAATAAATATAGTACCAAAGATTTTGTACTAAATGAGTAATAGTATTTCTTCAAAATAAGAATTTAGTACTTAAACTGGTTTTTAATAATAAATGATTTAGTACAAAAAATATTTTTTTCCAAATAAAAGTATTACTAAAGATTTAGTACTTGAATATTTATTACTACGAAAATTTTTCCTAAGTAAACCTAATACTGAAAACATTTTTTCTAAATAAAGCTTTAGTACTAAAATTTTAATATCTGAATGAAATTAATTACTACAAACATTTTTCCTAAGTAAACTTCGTACTAAACAAATTTTATCTAAATAAAAATTTGTTATTAAAGTTTTCCTTCCTCATAAATATATTACAAAAAATTTAGTAGTAAAATCCTTGTATGTAATGTAATCCTTGCATTACTAAATATTTTTCCAAAAAAAAAAATTTGTGCTAAAATCATTACGAAATCAGTACCAAAAACTGTTTACTAGTACCAAAAATTTAAAACTCTAAAATAACCAACTAAATTGATATAAAACTTTTTGTACTAAAATTTTTTTATTAAAATTCAGTATGACACTATGTGCCATAAATCAAGAACAGAAGTTTTAGTATCCAAATTTAGTGCTAAGAAACTAGTAACACAAATTTGGTACTAAAAATTTAGCACTAAAAATTGTAAAGTATAACTAAAAGTTTATGCATAAAAGCCTTTGTACTAAAAAATAAATTAAATTAAATAAATGAATATATATTAATTAAAAAATAGTAATATATATTACTAAAAACTATATGAAATTGAGTACTAAAAGATCAATATTATGTACTAATATATATACTAAAAATTTAAAACTAAAAATTTGGTGCTAAACATGAGTTTGCTTAAAATTCATTGCTTCAAATTTAGCGCTTAAAATTTAGCACTCGAAATTCAGTACAAAATAAGTGCTATAAATTTAAGAAAAAATTGATCTCTTTTATTTTTCGCTATTTTCTAAGATTTGCCAACCGTCAATGAATTTACGTCATATGCGCCTAAAAGTAGACTACATTAAAGTCACAAACTGTTCTCTGCACATATAAAATAAACATACAAAAAATAGCTAAATAAAGCAAACATTGGACAAACCGTAGTAGGACAAGCGGAAAATAGGGGCAAAGTAAGAGAAAATATGAAAAGGAAAAACAAAAATACTTTGAAGACTATAATATTTATTTTGCCATCATTGTAAACACCAATATATGTGTGCATGTACGTACGAGCACATATTGCCCAACTATTTTTACACACAACCTATATAGACAAAGTTGTAAGCAAAATACTATATTAGGAAACAGCAACAGCAACAGCAAGAGACAACAACAAAAACTGTATTATTGCAAGGGCAACCCAATATTATTGATGACAAGTGACACAAGTGGACAAAATGTGTTTGTCGTTTACACTTGAGCGCTTCACTTCCTCTGTTTGTGTGTGTACGTGTGTGTGAGTGTGCCAGAAGTTGCTTTCACTGGCCAAAGTACAAGTGGCTGAAAGGCAACAACAAAAAAGAAAACAAGATATACAAGTGTACGATTGCGAAAATAAAATATTGTGGGCGGAATTATATTTGCTCACAATAACACTCATCTTTAGTTGGCTTTCAGGCGCGTTAGACTGGAATGTTTCGCAGAAATTTTCTTAAATTATTTTGAAATATTTTGCTTTTATACTTTACTTTTTCTAAGTCTGAGAGCTCGTGTGGGGAAAGTTTGGGATTTAGCGTGTTGTTAACTACTTTGTAGCATACTTTTGGTTGTTTATATAAATACTTAATTTATCGCTAAATTCAAGTGCTCTCAAATGTACTGAAACAATTTTCAAAACGTATAAACAAATTTGCTTTTTCAATTAAAATCTCCAATAATCATAAAAATAATTATTTTTCAATCAATATCTGCAATTTTTTTTCTTGATTTAAATCGCCAAAAAAAATCGAATCGCAATAATCATGACATATTTTTAGGCAGTGGGTAGATCTATAAAAATTTAAATTTCTATAATACTTTCATATTATCAAATAACTCAAGTTAAACACTGAAAATTTAGAACTAAAAAATTGGTACTAAAAGATTAGTGCTCAAAAATTAGTACTAAAAATTCAAATAAAGATAATCTGGTCTTAAAATATATTACTCAAAAATTAGTACTAAAAATTTAATAATAAAAATCGTGAGCTAAAAATTCAGTACAAATAATTAAAACATACATGGATATGTACCAAAGCATATAAATTAAGAGTTATACAAAATTTTATACAAAATGAAATAAAATTTGGTACTAAAATTAAAATATTAATATATAATTTGTTTTCAAAAACTTAGTACTAAAAGATCTTTAGTAAAAAAGGTATTAAAACTAGAGAAATCAGCACCAACCATTTAATCCTTAATATTTAGTACTGAAATTTAAAACTTTAACCTGGGTACTATATAATTGGGTACTAAATATTTAGTACCACAAATTTGATACTGAAATTTTATGCCAAAAATTTGGTGCTAAAAACTTTATACTAAAGACATACAACTGAATTCGGAATATAAAAAATTTAATGATAAAAATAATAACTTTGACAGGATAATAAGCATTAAAAACTAATTATGGCACATTCTGATACGCAAAATATGGAAAATTTTTTTCATTTTAATACTATTTGGTATTTTCTTTTATTTTTTGTACTGAAAATTTAATACTGAGTTTTGATGTAAAAAAAAAAAATTAAAATTAATCATAATTGTTTTGACAGCTAAATAAAGAACTAAAAATAATTAGATAACATAATAGATATAAATTTTTATTTAATTTCTAATTTCTTTCATTCAAATTTTTGTAAATTTTTTTTAGCAAATTATGAAAAAAAATTAAAATATTTAGTTTTAATTTATATAAGTATATATAAATTATAATTTTTCAAAGTTTTTTTTTTAATTTTTGTATGTGTACTTCTTCGAATTATGAGCATTTATAGCCTTCAAAAAAATTTCTTCAATAAGTTATATAAATATTAATAATAACGCAAACTCAGTTGCCATTTTCAGCCTTCACTTTCTGCTCACACATTTCCCCTAAATATTCAAAAAGATATATAAATCAATCAAGAATATCAAAAAAACATCTAAATTTTGTGCTGAAAAATGAATTATTTCGTTTGTGCGCCTAAAAGCTAATGATCCATGCACACGAATACCAAAACAAATGATTGATAAAACACACACAAAAAAGGCATACTTTTAGGCGCCAACAGCAACACTTTACAGCCTACCAACTCAAGTGGAAATGACCTAAGCTATCAATCTAGTTGAGATAAAGCCAATCAAATGTCTAAGATGCCTGAGAGTAGGCAAGAATTAGAAAGGAAAAGGTGAAAGTAAGCATGAGAAGCGAATCAGAGGATGAAAGTGTAGGCAACAAAGCTACAATACATACAATAAAATTCAAAGAACAATGCGCGAAATCAAAGAAATGTCTGACGAACTGACTGACAATCCCCTGGCTAATAGGCTAATCGAGTATATTGGCCGAGTTGGCAGGTGTTTTTGTTGAGCGAGTGCAATTTTTTTACAACGATTTTAAAGGTTGGAAGATCACCATAAAGAGAAGAAGACTTCAGAGAAATATAAAAGATATTCTGCTAAAATTGCTTCCATTTCAAAATGGTTTCAATAAAATATTTTGTTCTTCAGTTCTAATAATCAAAATATTAAGTGGGAATTTATCTGCTTGAATGGGCGGGCATTTTAATTGCTTTGAAAAAAGTGCTGCAAATCTCAGCAAACTTATTAATGAAAATATATAAAATTTAAAATTTTGTTTTACTTTTCTAGTATATTATAACTGATAAGAAAAACTATAAAAACAAAAGATAAACAATTATAGAATTTTGTTCATAATAAAAAAAAATTGGAATTCTCAACCGGCTGACTAAACTTATATATTTATCATATAAATAAAAACAAGAGGTTAGGTAATAGTATTAAGTACCTTCAATACTTGTATATTAAATAATCAAATAACTTTTAATTTATTTAATTTTAACTTGAAATTATAAATTTTTTAATTTAATTTCTTCTTCAATTTCTCTTTACAGATTTACCTAAGGATCTCAAGCATTCCATATAGCATACCATAATCTAAAAAAAAAAAGAGCCCAAGCTGACGCTAGCAACAACAACTGCAAGAATTATAGTTTGAAATTTCAAAAATAGATTTTTCAAAATACAAAAATGTAATTTAATACTTTATCGGCGAAACCATAATAAAATAACTTCAAAAACATTTTTTAAATTGCTTTAAACACAACAAAATGTTGAACTAGACACAAAAATCAAACAGGAACTAGTTTCCTGTCTCAGTACCAGAAAACAAGTCGCTTCACAACGACTTAAACTACAGAATAAGAGAAAAGAAAAATTCATGCGATTTTCAAACACAAAATATATAAAAGAATATTTTTCGCTTAATCATTTGGACTAGTGGCATATATACAAAATGACGAAAAAGTACGAGTTCGATTGGATCATACCGGTGCCGGAGGAGCTGACCACCGGTTGTGTTTTCGATCGTTGGTTCGAGAATGAAAAGGAAACGAAAGAGAATGATTTTGAGAAAGATGCTATGTTTAAAGTGGATGAATATGGATTCTTTTTATATTGGAAAAGCGATGGCAGGGTGAGTGAAATGAGTCATATTTTTAAATAAAATAAAAAAATTAAAAATTAACAACCAAGCCGAAGAAAAAATTTTGAAGAGAACAATTTAATTGAAATTATTCTTTTACTTTAAAAAAAAAACTCTTAATTTCTCAGAAAACAAATAAATATTTGTTTCTCTTTCAATTGAGCAACATTAATTAAATATTGAAAAAAAAAATAAAATCGACTTTAAAAATCCTTGATAATATAATATAATAATAATAATAATAATAATATTAATGAAACAATTTTTTAAATTCAAGTCGGCCAAAATGTATATATTTCGTGAAATATTTTAATTTTACTTACTTATTTCAGATTTTTGAAAGTTATATTTTTTAATTAAATAAAATAAATTTTATAAATAATATAAAAATTTTAAATAAAAAAATATTATATATATAAATAACATTTTGATATTAAAAACTTATTTTGTATATTTTTCTTTAATTAAAAAAAAATTAATTATAATTCCTTCTCCTATTTTTAAATTTCTCAAACCACATGCTATGCAGGAAGGCGACGTCATCGAATTGTGTCAAGTTAGTGATATAAGAGCGGGCGGTGTGCCGAAGGTGAGTAGTTTTTGAATGTAATAACTTTGTTGTGTAATTATATAAAAAATACTCACCAGAAAAAATTGTTATAAAAATGTTTTAACCAAAAACTTATTTCTTTAAAATAAAAAAATTATAATGAAAAAAAATAGTAAAAAAAGAAAAATCTACGAAAAAAATGCCATAAAAAAATCTTTAGAAATATGAACACACTCAAATAACGTAATTACATTTGCATGGTTTTAATATTCTAGAAAATTAATTCTGCTACTAAAAACGTCCTTAAAAAATTTTCCAAAAACAATTCAAATAAAAATTCTCTTAAAATATGCCATAAAAAATTCAATACATATATGCACAAATAACGTACTTACGCATAGTTTAGTAATTTTAGAAATTAATTTCTATTACTCAAAATTTGCCAAAAATTTTTCCAAATAAATATTATTATATTAAGTATTTTGAGCACAACTGCATTTCAACAAAAATATTTACTACCCATTCTAACACATTACCGTTTCCATAAACAATTACACATACGCTGGCACCCACACATGCCGAAAAATGCATTCAAACATCTCTCATACAACTATAACCGAGTATTATACGAACAATACCGCAATTGACGAGCTGCAACCGCAAAGACCATAGTAACCGCAGAAGCTTCAACGCACAAAGTCACAAATACACATACACAGGCACACACACATACGAAGTAACGCACAAATGTACAGCTTGCACCTGAACGATTTCATCTCCTTCACACTTCATACGCCGCTAATTTCTGCACTACACTTTTGCCTTACTTCTGCTCAGCTGTAAGTGTGGAAGCACTGTGTAGCTGACACGCAAACACACATACACGTACACGCATATACACTGCTTTCCTCTGTTCGTTCGCTCGCATAGCCAAGAGAAATTTTCGCTTCTATTCAGCATTTCATACAGTCATTGTCGGAGGAGTGTGGTGTGGTGTACGCGGCGGATACGTAACCTCCGTTCTGGCATGTATGCGTGGATGTGTATGAACGCGCATATACACACAAGTAGTAAGGTCAACGAGTAACAGAGAATTCCATGGGATTAAAGCTATACATTTCTGCTACTGTTTGTAGTCGAGTGTACGGATGTGTATGTGTGTATGTGAGTGTGAGCCTTACATTTCCTAGTGTCAAGCAACCACAACCATAATTCATTTTTCTGATTGTTATATGAACATCATGCTGTAGGTGTTATTGGTGTTTTTGTAATTGTGGTTATATTCTTGCTGCACTACAAGAGTAACAATTTGTTGCTTTAAGCAGTAGAAGAGTGTTGATGTGTCCGAAATGACGGACAGCACAAAGAGCGGTGGAAAATTATGGTGGTCAAGAGAATTATGAATTTGAGCGAAAAAAAATAGAATAGAATAGAATAGAATAAAATGAAGAGATATAAAAAATACCAAATATGATAAAAGGAAAATAAAAATGAAAATAAATGTTGACTAAATAAGAAATAAAAATTTGTAAAATAAATAAAAATGCAAATTGGAAGAGGAAAAAATAAGATCTAAATAAAAATGATAGAGGAAACCAAGCACAAATAAATTAAAATAAAAAGTAATAAAAAAATTGAAATGGTTAAATAATAAGCCAAAAAAATTAATTATTATATAATTAAAAGAAATATAAAAATAAACTAAAACATGAACTGAATTTAAATAAAAATAAGTATATAAGAAATAGAATAAAATCAAATAATAATGATAAGTAAGAAACTCAACTATAAAGTCGAATTTAAGAGATATATATAAAACAAAAACAGAAAGTAAATCGAAAATACAATAGTATGAATAAAAAATATTAAATAATATTAAGGTATAAATAAATATAAATACAAAAATGTAAACAAAATCATAAATATAAAATGAAGGAGATTAAGAATTTAATAAAAATGAATATATTAAAGGTAAAAAAATTCAAAATAAAACTAAAACACAAATTTAATAAAATTGATTAATAACAGGATATTTAGAATGTATAATCAAAATAAAAGTAAAAATTAAAGGTAAGAAAATATAAAAATTAAATAATTATACAACAAAAAATAAAGAAACCAAAACAAAAAGTGAAAGAATAAAATAAATTCATCAAAAAAATATAAATAGAATAAAAATAAAAAAAATTAAAAATTAAAACAATTTAAAGAAAATGAAAGTAAAATAAATGAATAATAATTATTTTTATGAAAATATGTACAAACTACGATAAAAATAATTATAAGTGTAAAAATTAAAATAAAATTGTGAGTCAAAATAAATAATATAAAAAATAAAACTAAGATATTCCGTTATAAATATATTTTTAAATAAAAAAAAATATTAAATAAAATTAGTAATCAAATTAAAAAAATAAAAATAAAGTCGAAGTACTAAAAGCAAAATATAATCAAAAACGAAAAATAACATCACATAGAAATAATAATAAATATAAAAAATCCAAAAATAACATAAATCAGTAATAACAACAAATATGCAAATTACAAATAAAAATTGGCAATAGAAAATAAATATAAAATAAAATTAAGGAATTAAAATAATAAGACAGTAAGAAAAAAATATTAAACCAAAATGAAATTAAATAATTAAAGTTAAGATTAAATTAAAAAAAATAAGAATAAAAAAAAAATTAAGTAAAAAAATTAAATTACCGCAATTAGATGGGGAAATATATAGGAGTGTCTATTGATGTGAGCGCAGTGGTGCACTTTGACCATTATGACCGGAGAAGTGCTTTTGTGCTACCACCATGTTGACGCCGATCATTAGACTTCACTACCCATCCATTTCGATTCCCATGCGAATGTTATCTCAATTTATTGCTCTTAGAGTACTCCAAAAAGACTTCTACTATCTTAAAAGGAGTCCAGCTTCGCCCAAAGTTCAAAGCAACAACGACACGGATGAGAGTTCATTTCTTCCTCCTCATTGTGCTTACAGCTTTTCTAAACTACTTGTATCTCCTAAAAAAGAAACTTCCAACGTTTCTTTCAAAACTTTTCAATTTCTCAATCCATTTTAAGCAATCTTATTCCTTCTGGAACTACTGTAAGTCACTGTGTGAATGCAACTTGGTAAAGTCTGCTTATAAATAGATTCATTTAGGTGAATATTTTGAAAGAATAAAAGGGCATGACGTTCTTTGCTGAGAAAAATCTGCTTGGCTGTACCTTGTCTGGCTTCATGAAAAGATATATTCACAAATTTTGAATTATTAATAAACAAATTAAGCCTTGTTGTCTCTGTATGACTATCAATAAAGGAGCATTTTAGGAATTGTCAAAGTATATATCAGCTTCATACTAGTTAAATACTGGTTAGAGTAATAAAGAAGAAGATGAAGTTATTTAATAAATATTTACTGAAAATTTAGCCACTGAGTAGATAAATTTTTAAGTGTCACAACTTAAAAAATATTAAAAAAAATACTATAAATTTAAAAAAGAAGTATATAGAAAATTAATTTAAATAAAAAAAATTAAGTTAAGGAGCACACCTAGTGTGAAATTTCAAGAAATCTATCTTTTTTCATATTTCGGTAGATTCTACCTTTGAAAATAGCATATTGAAATTTCAAATAGATATCTCAAATAGTTATTGAGTTATAGCACTTTAAGAGCGAAAAAGATCATTTTATCTTTAAATGCTTTTTTCTCGAGACAGCATTTTCCGAATTTGCTGCAGTGATTACTCAAAAACAAATGATCCGATCACTATCGAATTTGTTTACATGTTCTATATATAGTTCTCCATACAATGACCTATCGATTTTTGATCTGATCAAAAAACTCGAATTTTGGCCGGCCAAAAACGACCAAAATTTTGGGTAAAATTCGACTATTTTTTTTTTAAACGCCGTCATATTGTCAATTTTTGATTTTTTTTACCGTAGGTTATTGTACAGACAATATTATATGGTAGAGAATTTTTTTTTTAGATTTCATCCACGGATAAGGCCGGAATCACTGCAGCAGTGAAGGACCTTTTTTTCGCGCCGTTGGAGATCGACTTTAACTTAAAAAATGTTTAATTTTTTCTTAAAAAATTTCACTGTGTATTCTTGAAACATGTATAAATATATTTTTAAAAATTTGAAATAATTGATAAAGTATTTTTTTTACAAAAATTCCCAAAAATCACCTTTTTTAGGCCATTACACTAGGGGTACCTCTTAAATTTTCTAGTTGCGGTCGCCACTGGGCAGGTTCGCTTAGTATAAGCTGTGGGTCCCTTAATATGTTGGAAAAACATCAAGACGCACACCACAAATTGGGGAGGGAGTTCGGCGGAAAATCGCTTGAGCGGTTACAAAGCGTCAATAATACTTAAAAATATTTAAAAACCGTTATGAATGAAAATATCGTTTTTAGTAATCGTTAAATAATTACTATTTATTTATTTATTTATGTGTTGATTATCCACTTTTTTAAATTTTTTCAACGTTTTCCTTTAATTTTTTGTTAAATTTTTTCTTAATTCATTTTGATTTTTGCTTTCTTTTCTTTTACACTTCAGTTCACTTCATTAAATTATGTATATTAACAATCAATCACAATTAGTTTTTTCCTTTTTCCTTGCTAATTTTATTGATATATCCACACATCGTTTATCGCATTTGTTTACATTTGTAGTTTTGGATTTTGCAAATATGTTGAATTTAATTCACTAATTAATGCAATAAATAGACTTACCGTTAAATAAACAAATCCTAGCGAAATTATGTGGAATTTGTGTCGAAAAGTTGTTTATTTGAAATTTGTGTGTAATTAATTTCATAAATGCTACTAATCTCAGGCATACATATATATATATATATATATATATATATATATATGGGTGGGTTGGTTGAAGTGGTTGCCGGGCATTAGCTCACTTAGGTCACCAAACGGGCACATTGTGATACCACTGAGGATGCTAATGACCCCCGCCATCTAATCAAACCAATGTTATCTGTGCTTCCGCTATTTCGCTGAAGTTA